GTATCCAGGCTGCCAGTGCATCCGATAAATTCTCCACTTCCTTAACGCGCTGGGTTACCACGTACTAAAGCCTACTGGAGACGCGCGACACGCAGAGGAAGCTTCGGTCCATCAGGCGCCATAGGGGCGAGGGTTATGGCAAACGTCGGCTGGAAAACCACTTTATCTGGAAGGGAAAATGAAAATTTGCGCACAAGTTCGGAAATCATTATTTGCATCTCTGCAACCCTGTTCATAGGATTAATACATCGGCGACGAGGTAGGCAGAAACTTACGCAAAACGCCAGCTGTGCCACGAAGCCAGTTAGTCCAGTACGCAGCGTTGTAAGGGGTTTGAAACAAACCCTATGCAGGTCCGACTGCCGCCGAGGAATGATAGGCTAACATCGAAACTATGGGATGAGAGGGCCACAGATAGACGATGAGACGAACAGGTTTGAATAAGGGCCTATTGACGCGCCAGACGCGACTGTGTTCCCGTTGAGCCACCGGTACGGATTAAATTGCGCGGCATCTTCGCCCCAGACCGAGGTCAATCTGTTCTCGGTCGAAAGATGAGAGTCAGCGCCAAAGTGCGAAAGCCTGCGCAAACCTATGGTATGAAGCGATGGCAATGACCATATGCTGCCCTTTCTTCACTGGTATTTCGGTGACCATTTTGCCCGAAGAAGTGATAATAGGCTCGGAGAGTGGCAGGACGCTGTCCTTGGCGGCGACGCGTTCCGTCTGAGGCACCGTGCTATACAGTCGCAAAATTTCCTGTCGGGTGCTTTGTTAAAGTTATGTTCAGTATTGAATTATTCCCTTTGCCTGATTACCTTGATTAGCCCGTTCAACATGGGTAAACGGTCGAAATCAACCGAGCGGTCGGCACCGGAATCATTAAGTTCCATTCGCAGTCTGTCCTGGAAATCAGGATTCTTGGCCAGCTCGTATAACGACCAGGCAACCGTGTTTGCCTGCAGAGGTTAGGCGGTGACATTCCCAGGATGGATTCACACACAGTGGTATCTTCTCCTGCAACAGTAATAGTGCCGAACTGATCTTGTACTTCTTCGAAGGTCATTTTGTTTGTTGATTGATAATTAGTGCCAACTGGAGGCCGATTCAAATTCAGCTCAAGGGAGCGGAAATGAAAGCTACCTAGAACACTGATCAAATCCTTTTCTGGCTCGATGCCAAGCTCAAAGGCATCCGTCTTATCCTTGATGATAGTCTTTGCCAGGCAACCTATGGCGACCTTTGTGTCAATGAGTTTTACCAAGGCGGGTGGCGGAAAGTATAGTAGAATAATATTCATGATCGGTTTGGGGATGTAGGAAAATACGGCGTCGGCCAGAATGGAAAATTTTGAGCGGTGTCCTGCAGTCACACTGCAAAAAGATATCATATCGCACTAATAACCAGTCCAGGAAACACGAACACAAGATTGTGGTATCGTGCCGCAAAATCTTTATCAGCCTGGAAATTGTAGCCGACGACACCTACGTGGAATAAGAATTGGTTCCACGAGCAATGGAGCTGTATTTACCCTCCCCGACAGCCTGCAAAGTGGTATCGTGTAAACCGGGGTAGGTGTCGAGTACGTCAGCCGGCCCTTGTGCGTCACAAAGTGCCTCCCATCTCAAACAAAGCTATATGATACTTTTTAAGCAAGAAAATGCGACAACAACAAGAAGATGAACCTCGTGAGCGGCTGCCTTCAGAGTCGGAGTGAGAGCTCGAACGCTCGCAGCAGAGAAAGCGGGGTTCATCACAGAACGAATGCGGCGGTGAGCGTCGCCTGGAAAGCAATATTACAAACGAAAAGAAGAAAAAAACCGTCTCAATTACTGACCTTCCACATACACCAGGCTTCCCCGGCCCAATCCTGTCACATTGATGAGCTGCTGTCGTGGGGATTTCACATAGGTTTCTGAGTGTGACAGAATGTGTTTCAAGACAGTAGGGTCCGAAATCATGAGGCGATTTTCCTTGGAAATCTAAGCTTAGCAAAGTCAACAAATATTGTCTTACACCGAAACAGCCCTTTGTGCGATAAACGGGGCCGTATGTCTTCTGCCATTGGAATATAAAGCCACCGTATGGAACCTCGAGCATGATCTCTTTCATATTCCCTGCAGGTAACAATGAGAAGCACGAGATAGTGAAACAGTCCATATTCTTGCCAAAGTTCCAGTGTTGTAGTTAAGACCTTAAGGGCTTAGTCTTAATAAGGGCTTAACTCTTATTAAGCTAAGGTCTTAATATCAGGGCGAATGCATGTGAAGGCCTTATTAACCCTTAGAATGGGAAATGATGTCACAGCAGGAGCAAATTCTGACGACCACGATGACAAGATTTGACCCTCCACCATTTCTGTTTCAAATCAAAATTAAGTCACTCGCTGCCATGCTCCATGTTTCTGGTTCCCCGAGGATATAACTGAACCGAGCCATTCCCCACTACTCTAGCCTTAATTTTTGCTCATGTTATGTTCTACTGTCTACATCAAGTCTAAGACCGACTCTGTTGAAGAATGGTCTCTAAATGTGCGAAGATTGTGTCGCCAGGGCCCGCCCTCAGCTATAGTGGGCTCAATGTAAACTGGCTGACTTGCAAGCATTAACCAAATGAACTTTGAGCCTCAGAGCTGGCATTTATGGCTCTAAAAATCTGATTGGTTGATTTTCCGGAGAGGTCATTGGTATACCATTGGGGCTGAAAAGGGTACTGGGTATGCCCAGAGTGCTCAGGAGGGTTCCAGGGATGATTATACAGACAAATCACGAATCTTCAGCCATTTTGCGTGTTCAAGAATGGGTCAAGCTGTTTCGGGAAATAACCCTTAATTAGACCCTTAATTTTGTCGCCCTTAATAAGCCTTAATGAGACTTAAGGCCTTAATTTTGAGGACTGCTCTTAATAAGACCCTTAACTACAACACTGTGCCAAACAACCATGATGGAGATGGTGGGCCTGGAATGGCGTGGGAGCGGCGAGTTCGTACAAAGAGCACAGCGAGAAAGATTGCCACCAGGGTAAGAATGACACGTTCCATGTAGAGACAGGTCAATGTTGAGGCGTTTCCAAATTCTTTGCCTGAAACTCAGACAGAGGCGATGATGGGATCATCTCCGGCAATCACCGTCGTCCTTAAATCGCCGCCGGCGCAGTTGCAGTCTTGTCCCTCAGGCTTCCCTTCCACTCAGGCTGCATGGGCATCTCGCTACTATCGCCGTTTTTCAACCAAACTTTATTCCATTCTTTTCACGCATGGGCCGAAACTTACCTCCGATATCTTGCGCTACTTCCGCTTCAACTCTGCTACTTCCGAAACTTTAGCTGGCGGTGGAATCCGGCGCTTATTCCGGCACGCGACAGCGCATATAAGTGTGGGTTCCGGCTTGTGCGGAGGAACGACGGATAACAGAGCAAAAAGCTTTTCGGCCAATCTGTTGGCAATCGCACGGAACAGCACATCATAGAATCGACGGCTTTAGGTCAACGCAAAAAGCGAAGAAATTCCTGCGCGATGCTTCTCCCTATCAACATCAGGAATCCGCCCACTCGCCGCAAAAAATCCCGAAGTTATTAAATTGGCACGTACCACGACTTGATCCCATACCGCAACCATACCGTCTTCCATCAATATATACCTCCGAGCAATACTATCCTGGGTCGTATCCTCCGCATTTTCATTGAAAGCACCACATGCACGACCGACGATCCGACTCCAACGCCCTCTACCAATCATCTCGACTCGTAAATCACACCTGTCGCTGAGACTGTCACGTCGTGTATTTAAGTACCCCGAGTGGTAAACACCGGAAACATGGCTCCCTTCTACACTTTCAGCCCCAAGACGACGACAATCAGTGTAAGCCCTGCCATTACGCCCATCATACAATGTTTCTGAATTCTTGCAGTTCTCGTGGCCGAAGGGCCTCACTGGATTGGAACGCATTGCTCTGTCAGCCCAGGGTGATCTTCAACGAATCTTGAGGTCAGCGAATGTCAGCCAGTTGTTTCAAGAGCCTTATATGCTGACGCCTTATGCAGTGCATTCTTTGCACGTCCCATTGTCGTCGCTTTAATCTACAGCACCACCTATACACGGCGTCCCGACAATGCGTTGGATACTCTTGCCCTTCCCAACCCTTCGGCAATTGAATCAGCTTCTCCCGAATCTCCGATCGTCCAAAACAGACAGGTTCATTTGCAGTGCGGGGGAAAACTTGTGTGTACAGCGACATCCACGGTTCACCTGCACAGCCAACGCTCCGCCCACCTTTTTCTCGAAGAGAAATACGGCATCGGTCAACTCTTCAGCAAACTAGAGGCCACCCCTAGTTTCGAGCTGCTTGCTGTCGGAACCGGCGATCACGACGATGTCTCCGCTGAGAAGGGTCTCGGCGGCGGGGGCGGCGGTTCTCAACTCTGGCGGAAGTATAAGCTTTCTGCGCCGGAGGTTGAATGCGAGATTCTCGAAGTGTTTGCTTCTCGGGAAATGTTCGTCCGCGGGCAATCCTGGCTGGAAAGCCAGCAACCCGACGGGGTCGGTTCTACGCAGTCGTCGTTACGCCGACCATCCACGAATGCATTACTTGGGTTTGCTCTTTTCTTGATGCTCGCATTTGAGTTTTATATCTATTTCTTCCACAAATCTCGTTGCTTGTAAAGAACGCATCTTGATACATTGCCAGCAGCTCTCATAGATGGCAGACGCTGCAACTAGATACTACTGGCTCGTTGTTCATGACTCGTGAATAACGCTCTTTCGAGAAAATATCGCGAAGCCTCACTGAGTTGAATTCAAGCATCCTACCATTCGGTAGTATTCTTCTTTCAGAGTGTTTGGGATAACAGGAATCTTCATAAGCACTTCATCAGTCAGTACTCGACCTCAGCCTCTCTTCTGTTACGCCTCGAACAAGAAACTTGAAGTTGAACTTGATCCACGGGGACATATTTATACAAATTGTAGCTATGATAATTATATTAGAGTAGCAAACTTCAACACACCAATGGTGAAGCGGTTATCATGCTTGCCTTCCATGAATACAATAAGCAAGCGGCAGGGGTTCGACTCCCCTTTGGTGTAGTTTTTGCTTTTATCCCTCAATCCGCCCTACGAATCGCAAGCTTTTTTTGTTTTCCCAGCTCCGCGATTACTAATACTACGAATCCGCTGAAGCGCAATGTGCTCGCTCCGCAAATGCCCCTATATCATGTATCCGATCATTTCCCGATCTGGATAGTTTTTAACTTCCACTTCCAGATTCCATGGTGAATAATGGGGTACCGCCGGAAGGAGCGAGGAAAAGCGCGTCGTTGAACCCACTGGCAGTTTCATCCTTATACCTCCGAAACTCAGTGTTTTTGAAGGCATTCTTTCCAGCAAGGAGTGTCAGTTACTGGACTAACAATTTGTATGTGTTAAAGTTTACTGCATATTTCAGCCCTCTGCCATTCATGTGTTAGGGTAGAATCGCTTCGCTTCGCTCGCAATCAATATGCCTCCTTTCTACCCAGAAGTCGACTCAGCAAATAGCGCGCGATGTGTGCACTGCCGTTGCTCTTGCTCAATCCCCCCTGCATTACATAGATGGTCCTAGAGGAATGTCTAAATTTACGAACGCCCTCCGTCCCAGGTGTATTAATTGAATTATAATCTACTGTTCCTTCTTTTCGGAGCTTTGTTCCGCCTCCCTGGCGATGCGTAAACGTTGCTGCTCTGCTCGTCTCAGCTCGCGTCTCTGTCTTCCACGGGTGACCATATCCTTGGGCTCTAAATCGGCGAAGAAGTGCTTGCACACAACCTCGATGACCCAGCAACCCGCAAAGTCGATTATCATGCTCGCCGTCAAGCGGACCCTGAACTGAGAAAGGATGCAAATATGAGCACGGTTGAAAGAACAGTCAGAAGTGAACCTACCGGTACCGTCATCTCGACGATCTGCAGCCATCTGTTGAGTTCTGGCATAAAGTCCGTAGCACCGCAGAATGCAACAGCGCTGGCACCGACAAGGCCCCAGTAAAGGTATTGGTTCTCCCGGATACCTTCACGGAAAGGACGACCCTAGGAAGCATCAGTATACGATATACGATACAGTCTCACCAGTCTTACCTGGAAGTTGATCGTGAACGTGGAGACCTGCTGTGAGAGCCCTAATAGATAGATAGCCGTGTTCAGCAGACTGGGTTCGAATTTGGCCTCAAGATCGATGGGCCCTTCTCGCCTAAAGTCAAAAAGAAGCGTCAGTAGAATGTGGGGGATTATTAAGCGAAGGCTTACGGCTCATGGAAGTGCGCAAGGTCGGTCATGTATACCAAGGTCGCAATATGGAGCGCAAACTGCAGCACGATGGAGAGGAAGACGTAGAGATTGAAGATGTTGCCAAGCGGCCGTTCTCGTGAGAGTTTTTCTACGGGCTACGAAAATACGCGTGAGCAACGATGCAGGAGTGATTTGGTATACATACCTTGGCACGCGATATACAAAGGAAGCAGACCGACATCATGACACCCGTAATGGTATACTGGTAGTCTCCGAACTTGATTCCATCAAGGTATTGTACACTGAGTGAGTACGCCGTGATAAGACAATTGAGAGCGAGAATCTTGTACATCTGGATCGTTGCCACGAGGGTGCATCGACCTTGTCTAATTATATGTGTAACTGCGGGTTTGTTAGACCGGGGTAGAAGTCCAAGAGGAAAGCACCGACCAGCGGAAACATGCGATAGTTTGGATGTGAATGGCGCCGCACATGAAGCATCACCGAGTTTTATTTTAGGTACTTCTTCTTCGTCGTCGAGATCTGCCATTTTGCTGGTGATAGCCTCGAGATTGAACTAAGGGGAACGTTAAAATGGAAACGTTAAGGGAATCCGCCCTACGCACCCGCTCCATGGGATTCCGCTTCCTCGCCGTTGCCAAATCCGCTGCTGCGCGTTGCTGGGCCGCAACCACGTTGGGGATGAGATGCGCGATGGCCGCCGGGACTGGTGGCGGGGGCTGGTTGAAGCGCGCCGATATCGACAGTTGACTCTCGTACACCTTCTTGATACGCTCGAGCCGTTGCCTCTCCGCGATCTTCTGCAGGTCCTCCGGTGTCCCGTCCAGCAGCGCGACACCGATGTGGGCCTGCTTCAGTGCACCGACATCATTTGTCCCGTCGCCCGCCATCAGTGTCGTGTACCCTAGGGTCTTAAGCGTCGTGAGAATGTACTCCTTCTGCGCCGGCGACACACGGGCGTAAACCCAAGTGTTCTGTACAAGGTCGTTCCAACCGGGACGTCCCTGGTACTGTTTCATCGCAGCGCCGGTGATGCAGATATCGTACTCTTCAAAGAGGGACACGTCCAGAGGCTCAGAGGGATTGACAGGGATGACCTTGCTTTCGTCGACGGTGCGCCACGTAAGGTCGCCCTCGTGGGCGGGATTCTCCTTCAAATCGAGGATAAGTGCCTCGCGGTCGACGATTTCCACATCCCGTGCGACATGAACGGCCGTCAACGGGTTGTCTCCGGTAATCATAACACACTGCGAATGAGCAATATTAGCACACAAGTTGTAAAAAGAAAGCCTCGAGTACATACGCGATGCGACGAATCCGCGAGCATCTGGAGGGTCTCAATGGCATCAGCTTTAAGAGGGCAGTGGAACACGAGGAAGCCGGCAAAGACGAGCTGGCTCTCCACCGCGTCCCGCGACAGCTTGTTAATCTATTTCCAAATGTAAATGGGAGTCACTGTATATGAACCGAAAAGCACACACTCGATCAACCGACATGGGCTCCATCTCCTTCATCGCGAGGGCCAAGACACGGCTCCCCTTGCGAGTAAAGTACTTGTACGTATCGTCATAATGGTCCGGAATGACTGCGAGCATGCCCTTGATCGTTTCCGGGGCGCCTTTGACAGCCGCGAGCGCCTTGCCTCCGGGGAGATTCGACACTGTGGACATGCGCTTGAGGGCCGAGGAGAACTGGAAGCGCCGACGGATGGACAGCTGCGTCTTATGGGGTGCATTGTTATTCGCAGGGGTGATCTGGTCGCCTGAAAGCGTGTTAGAAAAGGGCCGCAGTAAAATACAAGGCACTTCGCACCCTTGTGGAGATTCCAGTCCAACGCTGACAGCGTTGTCTTTTCCATCGGGTCGCCGACGATGGTACCATCATCCAGGCGGACCAAAGCGTGCGCGGCAGCGAGGCAGAGGGTCGTCTCGCGCGAGGTCTCCTTAACGTCCACCAGTTTGCGATTATCGGAGGAGCTAGCCCGACGTCAGCACACACAAGTATCTTAAACTGCGAAGACTGACTCGACACCAATGATGCCTTCCAATACCAAGTTCTCGGCGGTGATCGTACCTGTCTTGTCAAAGCAGCAGACATCCACACGCCCAGCGAATGGAATTCGGAACGGCTCCGTGCAGAATATAGCTATACTCAAGACGATGAATGCAAGTGATTGAAAAGCTGAATGCCACGCACCGTATTTGGACAGAGCGACGAGCGAAGCGTTCACCGCCAGCGACAGCTCCATTGGCAACTCGGGAGGGACGACACTCGTGATGATAAGTACACAATCGAGCAGGAGCTTGCTCTTCTTCAAATCGCGCTCAATGCCCTTGGTCCAGACATACCAACTCGCGGCGATGGCAAAGATGAGGAGGAAACCGATGAAGAGGAAGCTCTCGAGGTTGTTCGCAGAGACACGTTCCGTGCTGAAGATCATCGTGCGCACAAGCTGACCCTGCGCGGTTCCAAAACCGGTGCGGAGAACCACCCCAAGGCAGCCACCGTCGGGAGTCTTGAGTGGGGCCGCGAGACCGTTTTGGGAGGCTGCCGAGGCTTGGAGGACCTTGGTACCGCTGAAGAGAACAGCGTTCTTGTGTGCGCCGTCGACGTCGAGGTTGTCATTGGCGTCAAGGAGTTGGATGGACTCTTTGAGCAGAGGTGTAGACTCGCCGGAGAGCATGGCCTCGTTGACGATACAGGTGCCGTGCACGAGAAGTACATCCGCAGGGACGCTGAGCTCGTTTTGTTGCGGAGCTGTGGCTGATTAGAGGAAGATCCCGACTGCAGAACCAGCACTCACCAAGCGATATAACGTCTCCTGGTAAGAGATGATCTGTCTGCACCTCCTGCCATTTCTTGTCACGATAGCATTGTATGGGGTACGGGGCAATCGACATCGTCCTGAACTCGGTCAGAGTGCGGACACGCTATATCATATAAGTGCGTGTAGCTATACATAGCGATTGAACACACACCTGCCAAACCACGGTGCACTCAAACATGACGAGCATGAAGAGGGTGAACAGGCTGTAGTACCAGTACTCGTCCAAGCACCAGAGGGCCACGCAAAATATTTGGAAGACGAAAAATGGCGCGGTCGCGTGCTCGCTGAAGAGTTCGGAAAACGAGGGGATGGGGATGTTGAATTCGTTCCCGCCATACAAGGACATGAGACTCGGCAGCTGGGCGACGGGGAGGCCCTTCGGCTGCAGGAATGCCGACAAGGCCGGGCGGCCAGAGGAGGGGTACGGGAGACGAGTGAAGACGAGAGGCTCTAGTGACTGAATAATATACGTGTCGCGCTGATAGCTAAAGGTATACGTAGACGGGTCGGACTCGACTTTTTTGGTTATCGGAACGATGTCGCCCTGTCCGCGGTGGACATTGGGGACGATGCGGATGCAGTCGGCTTCTTGGACAGACTTTGCGGCGTTCGTGGTGACCCAAGCCCGTGCACCACCATTCCATTTTGTGACGAGAAAACTGAGGGCGTGGCTGGCACCCAGAGTGACGCAGGCGAGGAAGGTCCACTCCTCGGAAACTATCCACTCATCGTACTTGACGTAGTATGCGTATGCAAGCAGCGGATAGAGGGAGAGAAACGGGAGGGCGTAGAGGTGGGCAACGAAGGGGAGACGGACATGAAGGCTGGCGCGTGCGATCTCGGGCGAGTCGATGGCAACAGCGACACCCCTGCAAACATATTAGCCTCAGCACCGGGGCAGCCAGCGAGCGCGTACATATTTCGGCAGGTGGCGGCAGAAAGAAACGTATGCGATTACGTTATCTGTGTTCTTCTTGCGTTCTTCCATTTCTCCGGAGCTCTTTCCCTCGTCGTACCCAAGATATTCACCTTCGATGGCGGTTATTCACATTATTTCCTCAATACACTTGAGACTGCCGACTCGATAAAATTTACCATCTGCAGTGACTTGGTGAACGCAAAGAATTTCACGAGCAATTTAACAAGCTCTACCTACTCCCCGACCACCCTGAACAACTCCTTCTCTCCAAGATTTTATTATCGTCTTGGACCGCCCTTCCGGCCAATATCCATCGCAGGACGCCACCGACGCGGTAGAGGGAAACTTCCAATGGCAAGGAAACAGCACCAATGCCCAACTCCTCCGAATGCCTATTAAAGACCGCAGTTCGCACCACATATCTTTCACGTTGCCTCCCTGTTGCCTCTGGTCAAATCACCCTGTGAAGGAGGGAGGGAGGGAGGGAGGAATGTCCTTTACCACGGTGGTCCCAACGAAGAACGTACAGCTGCTGTATCTACATACATCAGCCCGGAATGTAGGCTACAGCTATTTGGAGTCCCGGAGTGTCGATCGATGGGCAAGGTGAAAGACTGGAACTGGGTTGTCAATTTGCAATGACACGCAATTTGCACGCAATCGGCAGTGGGCACGCACTGACCAAACCACAGAGATGAGACAAATTGACTCAGGAACAAGCAGCATCCGCTCTCAATTTTTTCTCCGCTCTCAAGCGTAAAACGGGATTTGCCAAAAGAGAGAGGACCTCCGGAATTAAAAGTTCCCTAAAAGAGGTCGCTGGCATAGTTTGTTTACGCTTGGCTGGGGCGTTGATTAAATCAGCGACTGGATTATCTTCCGACCCTCAACTCAAGTCAAAGAAAATCCTCACCAGTCCTCCCTCACCCCGCCTTCGCCTCTCCTAACGACTCAATATTCACGAAACTATCACGACATCTGCCTCCAATGGCGGCAAACGACACATCCACGCTATCCGCGCTCCTGCCATCAACCTCTTACCTCCTTGCATACTCCCTCCCTTTGCTCTTCCTATCCATCCTTCTCACCTTTGCTGGCGCCTTCCTGACTCTCGATCGAACCCGTTCTTTCCCGCCTGAGCGATTTGGTGTTCTCCCTGGGGCCTTCGAGCAGAAGAAGCGGCTCCACTGGCTTCTTGAAGGAGGCGTCGGTGGTCTTGCTGCAGGGCACGCGTTCGGCGGTGAGCTCCCTAACGTGTTTCCATTTCACTTTTCATACTCATTCCTTTCCAGTCCACCTCTCGACCTTCCTATCCCTGTTAGTCCCGGCTATATCAACGTCATCCCCTCTCAATTCCAAGTCCTTCGTCGCCGTCTGGCTATTATCATGCGTTATCACCACATTCCTGGCCGGCAGATGGAGATACTGTGCCCTCACCTTTATCGGCATCTCAGGCGGGTGAGTAGAAACCAGCCTATCGTGTGCCTGCAACTGACGCCGTTTCACAAGCGCACTCTTCGCCATCGCCGTTTCGGTTATCAGCCACCCTTCCCTGCTCGCCCGAGTCATCATAACGGCGGTCCTAACACCCACGCTCACTCTCTTCGTTCTGCTACCGATTCCCCGAATTCAGCACTCGGCAGTCCGTGTTGCGACCGCCTCCACAGGAGCATTCGGGCTCGTGCTCTCTATCGCTCTCCTGGCCAATATCCCGGCCTGGGCGAACGTCTGGGAGCGGCTTTGGATGCCTGCGGACGTGGCGGGCACATGGGGGACGACCAAGGAGAAGGGTCTTAGTGTCGGCTTCTGCTTGTTCTTCGCAGCTGGGATCGCTTGCGACTGGTTGCTGAGACGCAAGTTTGGAGAGTGTCCTGACGAGGTACGTGTGCCGTTCAACGATCCCAAACACAATTACTCACTTGCCGCAGAAATGGGATAGCTACCTCGCCAACTACGCCGCAAGCCTTCCGAACGCTGCAAACCGCGCAGGTACCTTCACACCCCTCGCGTCCTTCTGGGACCGAATATTCGGTTCAGCTCCCCCGGCAAGGGGTCCCAAGGATATTATCTTCCCTGACGAAGACGCCGACGATGTCAAGCTCGCCCCAGGCAAAAGCCGCGAGTCATTCGAGTTTCAACAGAGCCCCGCATGTCTGAAGAAAGGCCGCTCCGTCGGACCCGCACGGTTCCAGTCCAGAATGGCCGGGAAGAAGCGCGGCGCGGTCAAGTTCAGGGCTGTTGGAGAGGCCGGCTTGTCCTCAGACGAGGACGAGGACGACCCTTTTCGCTCCCCGCCGCACAGTCCGACGAGCCCGAAAATCCAGCGGCCGTGGCTGCGCCAGAAGATGTCCATGGCCTCCACAGCGACCCTTGTCGACGATGGTTCTGCCAAAGGCAGGGACATCGATTTCGACAAGGAGATGGGCCGTGTTCGAGGCGCCAAGAAACGGAACACGGACGAGGCGCCCGATTATTCAGACTACGAGGAGGATCTGACGAGCCTAGCCGCCAAAGATGGGAACAGGGACAAAGACTGGAGCCCGGGGTTCCTGAAGCGGCATCGATCCGGCGCAACTGACCGCGCATCGCAGCGCACCGCCGTAACGTCCTCGAACAACCAGTCAGCGCCACCCGGCGCGGTTCCTGCAACACCGTCACTGATCAAAGCGCTTGATCGGATAGCAGTCGCGCAGAAGGATGCCTTTTCGCATTCGCCAGCGGACGGTATGCCAGACGGCGGTGCGCCCCCGCAACAAGAGTACAAGGGCGCACGATGGGATGACTTTTGGAAGGAAGTACGGGATAAGGCGAGATAGGAGGGACACTGTTCGCGGTTTTCGTTGACTTTTGCAGGGTCCTCTCGCTAGGAGGGGCGTTGGTTATTTAATTCTATTCTTATGATGTTTACGCTTTTAATGATACCCTGTAACGAACTAACTTACTTGAATCTTTTGCTTGCAATCTCTTTAGGGTTCCACTGTCCTTGCACTGTCCTGTGGCGAGAATGGAGCGCTTGTCGGTGCCTCTGCACAATTATGTTGAAGCTCCCATGCTGCGGCGCATCTCTCAAGGTTCGCGAAACAGAAACAAGGCTTGACTTCAACTGGAAAGATGGATAACAAGTAAGTGAAGTTCGAAAAATTACAAAGTAGAAAAAAGGATGACATAAAGGCAGAAGGGCCCGGTCCCGAATCGAACGGGATACTTCTTTCAAATTGTCATATCTTAAACTGGAATGAAAGAAAGACGTGTTACCATTACACTACAAGGCCAATGTTCCTTGGCCTGGATGATGGGGTATATGGTCAAGTAAGGGATGGTTGAAATTAAAAATTCCAACCAAAACTTCAACTATAACTCTATGAGTCTTGTTCAAGTCCACTGATATGTAGAGTAGATGGGAGCATCCACGAAAGAGAAACAATGCTTTCCGGAAGTAAACGAAGCGACGCAACGAAGGGTGTAAGCGCTTGAAGTGGAAGAAGAAAAAAATGCGAAGTGTGTTTGCATGGCCTGGTCCCAGATCGAACAGGATACTTCTTCCAAATGAGGGTGACCATAGAGCAGCAAGGAAAGACGTGTTACCAATACACCACCAAGCCGATGTCCCTTGCTGGATGATGGGATATATGGTGAACTTGAAGTACTTGTAGGGGATGGTTGAAATCGAAAATTTCAACCAAAGTTCAACACTCTTAGGAATCTCATTCCCAATAGAGTGTCTCACGCCGAAAGTTTCAGCGAAGGAAAAACACCGTTTACCTGAAGAAGAAAATAAAATCGACTCAACGAAGGGTGTAAGTAAGCGAAGTTGAATAAAAAGTAAGTATCGAGAGGGCTCTAGTGCATGGCCTGGCCCCGAATCGAACGGGATACTTCTTTTGAATTTTCTCTAACCTGAAAATGATAGGAAGGAAAGATGTGTTACCATTACACTACCAGGCCGTTGTTGTTTTGGCTGGGTGATGGTACTAGGCATATGGTAGGAGGGAGAGAGGAGTGGTGAATTTGGTTCAAGTTGAACATCAGAAAATGAAATGTTCAATAAATTCTTCTTGCATGGATGTAAGCTCCTGTGAAACAATGAAATCCAGCCGGAGAGGATGCCCGCGAAACTGGGAGGGAGAAAAAACATGTATTCAGAATGGAAAGGACCTGATCTCGAATCGAACGGGATACTTCTGTCAAATTGCACCGACTCAAGCAGCAACGAAAGAAAGACATGTTACCAGTACACCACCAGACCGTCGTTATGTGGTCTGGATGATGGGTTATATGTGTGCTGGAGTCGAGGCAGAGAGCGTGCCTAAAAAGTTCAATCATTCAATATTCAACGACAGTATACATAGATACATGCAGTGGTAATAGCCCATATCTTCTTTGGAATCACGCCGCAGTGCCGTAATACAAAACCTTGGCCGTCAACCGAGAGTCAGCGTCGTGTTCGAAGGAAAGAGGTTGAAAGTGTGGCTGTGTCGATCAGTGGCTGTGTTGGGACCAAATTTTGTCGCCGCTCCCAGTCCTCCTCAAGCAACCACCACCAACGCACCACCAAAATGGTACGTCCAATTCTCCTCCAACGCCATCCTGGACCCTCTCTGCACGATGCTGGGTGCCCAAATGGCTGTTCTGTGGCATGGAATAGGTGGATTCGTGTGCTGACTTGTGGATGTCGTTTGTAGCCCCCCAAGAAAGTCAAGGCGCCCAAGGAGGAGAACGTCTCGCTCGGGCCGCAGGTTGCAGAGGGCGAGCGTGTCTTTGGTGTCGCGCACATTTTTGCGTCGTTCAACGACACGTTTGTGCACGTCACCGATCTGTCGGGCAAGGAGACCATCTCCCGTGTCACTGGTGTGTGTCTGTGCTCTTTATCCACTCTAAAACTAAGTCGCGCAGGCGGAATGAAGGTCAAAGCTGACCGTGACGAATCGTCGCCGTACGCGGCCATGTTGGCTGCCCAGGACGTCGCCGCCCGCTGCAAGGAGGTCGGCATCACCGCCCTTCACATCAAAATCCGCGCGACTGGCGGAACCGGCACCAAGACTCCCGGCCCCGGTGGACAGAGCGCCCTCCGTGCCCTCGCCCGCGCCGGCATGTCCATCGGCCGCATCGAGGACGTCACCCCCGTCCCCACAGATTGCACCCGTCGCAAGGTTTGTCTCTTCTCTTGTCCATTGTGCAGTCTGTTAACACAAGTGCAGGGTGGTCGCCGTGGTCGCCGTCTCTGAGTAGAATACTGCTACCGCTTGTATCTAGGTACATCCAATGTCGCCGCTCGACGCGCAACAGGCAATCCCTGTCCCGCGGTCGTCACTCCAATCGGTTTGCAGAATGTAAGACTGAAAATGTTGTGAAAATGAGTCCCTTGTTCGTCCGCACTCTTGCAATGCATTGTTTCTTTTTACACGTCACCTGCTTATTTTTGCTGTATCCTCCCCGTCAGAACCATCGTTTTCGTTCGGATGCATGCCTGTATTATGGCTCTGCAAAACTCACCAGCTTCTTCGTCTCTCATTGATAGCTAAACATTCGAGCTCGATTCTTCTACGGCCTATGCTCCGCTGTTGTGAAATGCAGAGGACAGCTGGCCTGATACATGAGATACGCCAGGTCGTGCTTGCGGTCCTAACTCCCAACAGCGATCCAGAATCGTCCACACACCCTCAGTGATCATCGATCATCCCGTAGTCCGTTTTTCTGGGACGCTGCGGCACGAATGAAGCGTTTAGACGGCCTCCCTTTCGATGCCTCTGCACTCAATATCTGAACGATCATCTCAGTTCGGCACTCAAACGAAATGCAAAGCGCATACTTCCAATACCAACAGTGCAAAAGAACACACATCCGAACATTTCGTCATTGGACGCGATTTTTGTTCCACGCGGCCCTCCGGGTCGGAAGTTACTGTGTAGTAGCTCCGGGGCCATATATGGCGGAGTTCCAGCACTATCCGTCGTATATACCGGCCTTCGAGTATCTTGGAGATACCAAAGTCGCAGATGCGCTTGAAGGCTTGCTGATCGTCAACGAGAACATTTTGCTGCGTTCGTAGCTGGTGAGTAGGCTTATCATCTCCGAGTAACAAAGCCACTGTCACGACTTCCAAGTCTCCGTGAACAATCCCATGTAGGTGTAAGTAGGTACTCCAGGCCCGAGGCTACATCGACCGCCTGCAAACCGTATGATAAGTTACTTCAACATCATTTACGGCGAAGGAAAGGAATTACCATGCGTGGTCTGTCGGCTTCTGGATGCTCCCGGACGAACTTTCCAACGTGTCCAAGCTCGTAGTACGGAGAGACAAGGCCGGGCCAGGGCCCAACTTCGTCTGAAATGCCCAGGAAAGGAACAAGGTTGCGGTGGTTGAGCAAGGCCCAAACCCGGTGGTCAAGCAAGGCCCAAACCTCCGCTTCCCGTTTGAGTCGCTGATAAATCAGCCATGAACGCAAGCCGGGGTAGTAAAAAAAATTACCCTCTCATCCAACTGACCATCGGAATCAGGCCGAATTATTTCAATGGCAACCTACACCACCAAACTGCGCGGATGTTTGGATGAGCTGTGGTCGTTGATCACAGGATCAGGATGGCCGAACATCAAAGAAGCATCGAATGATATCGCTCCAATGTGCTGGCACAGAATTGGGAGATCGTCTCTTGACACCCGCCTCGTAGAATACCCGCCTGAATGTCTGACAGATGTTTCACACTCCCTCATTAAGACCTTTCCTACTTATCTGTGCCGGGCAGAAGGCAGCTCTAGCCCGCATCTCAACAACGCCGTGAGCGCATTTTTTGAGGACGATGTACATGTTCGTTCGCCCTGAATCCGAGACCAGGAAAAAGACCTCAGACATCTTATTGAAATAGCTAGCCAACAACATTTTAAGGAACCATTTATGTATTCACTGTGGTTTTATATATGTAATTAGAGCGAGCGATCATAAATCATACTGATACTGGGCCCTCGGCATCGACCAAATCCGTCCACCGATTGCTCACCGTCAAACGCGTTGCAGAACCGCGTACATAGCTTGAATGCGAGCTTCAATACACTGGAGGCTATGATATTGAAAAATCACGCACCGCTGTCGAGGGCCGCACTGAGCTGTACATGCAAATGCTGGTGTCAGCAGGCTCTTTACTATGTGCGCTTGTGGGACCCGAAGTGTCGAGAAGGTGGTCCGTGGCCTGAGGGTACGTTGTGAATATAATGGAGCTCTCGAGTAAGGAGTATGTACACACCAGACAATATGTTGCGGTGCCACAAGGCTCACCTGTTGCAGCACGTTAGGGTCTGGTCGGTAGAGTGTCGCTGCAGCCATAAGGTTAGTTTGAGCGAACAAATGCAAAAAAAAAAGACATACCCAGGCGCATCGGGGAGTATCCTTGAATATCAACTGTAATGTGTAGTTGTGTACTGCAAAGTATGAAAAATTTGTGCATGGATTTTAGCCAGGACAAACGAGCAACTAAATGGGAGAGAATACGTACTCGCGTGCGTCCGACATTCAAGGTGCCAAACTTAATATATATTAGCCAATTGTGCTTTCCCTCACAGCTGGCGAGTACTCACTGTAAAGGAGTGGGAGGAAATGGTCTTCGGTATTGGTCCGACATATGCAGGGTGAAAACGCGTTAGTCATAGGGTCGCTGGTGATGAGAAGGTACCTGCCAATTGTTTGTATAATGCCGAGTGCTGCGCAGTGGATAATGCATGGTCTAGTAGGCGTAGGTTGGAGATGGACTGTGACCTTCATCAGTGAGCTTCAATAGCACAAGAGGTTTGAAAAACTGCAACGACAACGAACTCGAGCGTCCCCAGCACCAGTGGCAAACTTCACAACTCCAGCACGTATCCTCATGAACCACTCTGTCATCAGTTCCTGGTGTGAATCCATCAAACAGAGAGGCATTTGGAAACGGGGAGCGGATGCAAGGCCAGAGGCTCAGAATGTGGATGTGGCGAGAAGAGAAAGGTGGTTGGTATTGATTTGCTTGGTTGCGCTTGCCAAAGGCACCGATGCACAGCCACTAATCCGCTTTGGGAATCGCCGCCAGGAATAAAGTCGGGTTAGAATATTTACAGGGCTGTAAGAAGTAAAGTAAAATTAAAGGCTTATAGCGGCTTCCTTTAACGCAATGTCAACACCTCCACCTATTTTTCCAGGACCATATCAACGGTACTCAGCCAGCTTTCCATGTCCTTCATCAGCGTGATTGGAATCTCCTTGTCGGCTGCTCCGTGGTTTGCGACGTCAGTGTTGTAATGCATTTCGAAGAAGCTGGCAACACAGAATATTGAGCAGAGATTCAGCTGAAAGGGAAAGAACAACTCACGTCTTCCGTTCCGAGGGCGAGAAATTTTTGTAGTACATGTTGAGTTGCTTATCGAGAGGATCAAGACGCTCGTACGCTGGTGTTGTCGAGTCTGCATCCGAGCTTCCAATCGGGGAGTCGTCGAGCCCACAAAGTTTATATGTGGGGGCCAAGTACGGTGGTGGTGGTGGCGTTGGAGTGCAGCGGGAAGGCCCACGCGGGGTGCCTGCAGGCGGGTTTACTGGCACTTTGATTGCGCTCAGTGCGCTCGGTATTGGATCAATGATTACAGCCCGCAGAAGGCTGGAGGCGTGCGAGGAGGGCGAGGGCGAGTGCGACAGGTATTCACTATGCATGAGCGCAAGCAGTGGTTGACGAATGAAGTCAGAAGGAATGTCAGAATCATTGGATGCAAAAGAGGAGATACCAGCACGCACCAGTGAGACTGACGGCCATATTGAGGCCAGACTTGACAGCAAGATTGCGGCAGACTTGAGGTAAAGATAGACAAGAGGGAGGCTACGCATTGGTGAGAGACATTGTAGGAGGCCAGAGATATGTTCGTCGTTGAGGACTTTCAGAGATTAAGGAGGACATTGTGGCGAGATAAAGCGAGAATGTTGTGGTGAGAT